TTCGTAATTTTTTTTCAATCTGTGGCAATTTGGTATTTAATTTTTCAATGTGTGGCATGTGAGTAAAAAATTCAAGATTTGTTGTCTACCTACTATTGTGGGTTAAACCTAAAAGGGGTATCCTAGTTGGCTCTGAATTGCAATATTATTGGAGTCTAGTGCAATCTCATTTTTGTTGAATATTATGTTGAAGGGTATTTTTCATTACACTCCATGCCTCGCTCACACATTCTAATTCAAAATTATCTCTAGAATCCGAATACTAATTTTTATACGCAAAAAATACACAACAAACACCGTCTCAAATCAAATTAAGTTAAAGATAAAAAAAAGTTCAAATTTTAGAATTTCGATGCATTCTAATACGTCACCTCAAACCATCTCAAAATTAAGGAAAAACAAAATTTTAAAAAAGTTCAGATTTTAAAACTCGAATTTACCTTACAAAGATTGAAATTCGTACGTGTTCATTTAAGTATTTATGCTCAGACCTTTTCCTCTTCCTTCTCATTCATTTCATCAAATTTGAACCACAAGGCAAATAATAAATGGACACTTGCGTACAAAGCTTGCCCTTCGGCTGCTAGAACCTGCCTCGTCAATAGCTGACACAATATCCCTCTCTTAGAATCCAACGGTTGTGAACTTGATCAAGCTGCCTTTCTGATGACTGCGTGAACTAGCTTGCTGATTAGGATGGTAGTCCATTCCAAAGCGATCATGCTTTTCAACCACATTCAGAATTTGCCCCTGGGCAAAACACCTATCTCAATGGTCTCTTTAGCACTCTTGAAAGATGACATGGCCATTTTCGGTAATATACCAGAATTGACAGAAACGGAACTGACATCTTCGAACTCGAGACACGCAAGGCTCTATTATGGGTAGTACCTTCATGAGGCAACTTTGATTCATTGAAACCCAAGTACCGACTAGCAGTTATATTTGTGACGACATCGTCAAATTGTTCTATAGGAATGTCGTGCATCACATGAGCAGTGTTCGAAACTTTCAACAAAGTTGATTTGTGCGCGGGCGATCTCATGAGCAGCGACGAGATAGAAATAAGTCTGAGCATAAAAGCAAGACAAATAGTAAATGGACACTTAATGTGATTTGTGGTGCACATAATCCGATTGTATGTCGTATGAATTCTGAAGAGAAGAACATCGAACATGGTTAAACCCAAAAACATACTCGTAGCTTTGAAAAGAAAAAGATTTGAAACTGTCTCAAATATTAGGCAAGTATACAATGTTCGCAACCGAAATAACAAGGTGATAAGAGGTCCTAAATTTGAAATATAACAATTGTTGAAACTATTGGACTATAATCATTGTATATCTAGGTACAAAGTGTGTGAGGATGAAAAAACTGTTTGAGATATCATTTGGACTCATCCTAATTCCTTCAAGTTGTTCAACATTTCCACTATGGTGATAATTGATTTAACATATAAGACCAACACCAAGTGACAACTCAACCAAGCGGTTACCATCTTATTTCGAACATCGTGACTAAATTTATTTAGATTATCCAATTTTACAATACTAAATTTTTTTTATTAAGGTGCTTGTATTAGCAAACCATCGCCTTCATCACTTTTACAAAAAATGATGCACATTAAAAAATGTATGTTTTTACACACAGGTACATTGACCAAATTATAGATGTCAAAGGCGGTGGTAATTGCTGTTATCACATTGTTTAAGCTTTTCACAATAATGATGTGGAAAATCATACATTTGTCAGCTAGCATCTTATGAAATAGTTGAAGGTCCGTAAGAAATCATACACGAGGCTTTACGGGAAAAACATTACGAGGACATTCATTATGTGTTTGTTCCTTGTGTTAACGCTGCAACAAAAGAGGAAAAATGTATGTGTTTTCCTGAAATGAGTTATCCTATAGCCAGTGCATGTAATATAATGTGTACCAATCTAACAAGATATGATTTCTCAAAAACATTTATTCCACCTCGAAGTGATCCACTCAAAATTCAGTTGAATACATTATGTGTAATAAATCACTTTCAAAATCACACATTTTTTTTAATTTTATTTAAAACCAAGATGCCATATACTGATATACCTCTAACATCCTTTGAGTGGACATCTCATTCCTTAAAAGAAGCTAAAATTTTGGTTGGACAATTGTTTGGATGAGATGGAAAAGTTTATTAAGTTGAACAATATTAAAACATAATCAAATCAGAAAAACTTAAAGGCGAAACTACTCGTAGATTTAGATGCTAACACATTTTTTGATACATTTTTATTTATATCATACAATGCTTCGTGGACGTAATGTTAGTTTTTGTATTTTTAGAGATGTAATCTGGATATATTTTAACTTGTTATAATGTATATCTTACATTACTTGTATAAACATAAAGAATTGAAATTTTGATGTGTTGTATATCATGAAACAAGTACTTTCAATGGTGTGGGAGAATCAGAGCAATTTTAGATTTAAACCTCAGGATACACCCTTGGTATAAGCTTGATAGTGTTTGCTTTGTATATGATAAGGGGGAATATGGATTTCAATTTTCGAGTACACCCCCGAGAAATTCATGTTCGTATCTTCTTTGTACATGATAAAGAAGAGGTGAATCTAAATTTCAGTATCCATCAGTGACCTAAATCTAGTGGCAAACTTAAATAAGTTCTCCCAAATGAGATGAGGAGTTAACCTCCGAGATCCCACCAAAGCAATAACCTCGAATTCTCGCAAATGAGACGGAGAGTTAACCTTCAAGATCAAAGCCACAAAGTATGATGCGAAACGATGAAATTTGTCACACATAATTCCATGTGAACTCTAAACAAGTTCTAAATATTTTCAGGAAGGAGAAATTAAAACCACCCAGGTTTGGGCTTTTGTTACCATTATACTAGGACACATTACAATCTAGCTCCTAAATAAAAGTAAATAAAAGTTATCATCATCTGAAAGAGAGTGGAGAAGTACATCATCCAAACGAGGTCTATCCACACTCAATTCTTTAAAAGTCTTAGTAAAATAATTTGTTAGATTTTGTGTTGGAAGTGTGCTGCGAAACACGAAAAATAAAATAAAAATAGTAAGATTAAAGTTACACAAAATAAATTTTAAAGCGAGTGTTCATACTAGCTTTAGGTTTGACTCGCCTCCACTAATTTAGACAAATTGGATGTAAATGGATAGACCGACAAATTTCTCTTAACATACTTTAGAAATCGTAATATGAATCACACGTTCGCATCATACATATCAATCATCAGTATTTTAAAAAATAAAATTCTTTCATTTATTCTCATGCCCTAGAAAAATAAAAATAAAATGACTTAAATATAATTTTTGTCTATTAAAACATGTTAATTTTTGTGTGTTTTTAATTTTGCAAAATATCTCTAAAAAGAAAATTGTATCACTTAGTGAAAACATCCTTTGAATTACTAGTCCTTTCTAACTGTTGTGTATTTTTCCGTTCAACTTTTGACCAGAATGTCTTGGTGCAACTTTTGTTTTTTCAGTTTGCCATTTATTGTCAAAGTAACAAATAAATACCAAAACACATTATAACTAAGTTTTCAACCTATAACCTTTAAATCTATATCTAAATTCACAACCAATACACCAACATAATCATTTGTGATCCAAAATTCTCATTAAATGAATTTAATCAGTATTATTCATCAAATAAATATTTTGAGAATTTCCCTAACATGATTCACTACCTCTATTATGATATAGGATAATAGGACACCCTTTAATCCAATCCCCACAAAGCTAAGTTAGGGTTCCTTTTGCTTATACTCTTATCGAATGCATGAAAGTAACTAGAATTAGTATCACCCCCTTAAGTCATTTAGACCTAAATCTTAAAAACAATTGAAAATCTTTACTTCTAAGCAAGGACCACATGTTCACAATCGCTCTGGATCTTGAATGAATATCTTTAAGAGATAAAGACCTAAGATCAACCAAAGAATCCACCCTACCAACATTCTCTTTGAATCTATCTATTTATCTGGGAGTCAAAATTTTCAAAAACCTCTTTATTCCAAAGATCTCAACAGAAGAACAAACAGAATTGAAATTACCCAGAACACATGCGCCTCCAAAACTAGTTTTTCTAGTAGAGAAGTAGAATGAATGTCATTCCAAACCAGGGAGAGAACCTGTTGTAATGATTGTAAGATGCAAAAGGTGGATGAAGGTGCATTTAAATTCCTTCTTTACTTTGATGCAGATGCAAGAAATGCAGGAAAGAAGTGGTGTTAATGGTATGCATAAATATGCAATGCATGAGAGTACTCTATCTGAAGAAGAATTGGATAATGAAGATATAAAAGCGATTTTCGCAATTGGAATGAGAAGTTCGTTGGTAAAATGGAGACAAGGAATGACGACTCGCTCCCTTTATTCAAGCATATCTAGAATTGATGATGCTCTATGAAAGATTGCTCATACTTATCTGGTGACGATCTTTGTCCTCGATGTCAATCTCATGATCAAACTATATCATACACATGTTGCGAGATTGTGAGGATGCTAAGGAATTTCGGAACCTGTTTTTTCACAAAAGATAATTACGTTAAGTTTAGCCTTGGGTCGAGTGGGAATCAGTAGTTGAGCTACTTTCTTTAGTGTTTCTGTTAGGAGTATTTGGAAGGATATAAGGAATTTGGAATTGGGAGTGAAGTTAGCAACAAAGTCGTCAATCGTGCTTACCATATTTCAAAAAAACATGATCAACCATTAGATTCTCATAACTGCAGCACATGAGTTGGCAGAAACCTCCTCTAAGATTGTTCAAGGTTAACATAGAATTTACAAAATATTGTTATATAACTTTGATGAAATGATGCATACAAGTATTGTTATTACAGAAATAGGAATTGTGAGTGAGATTTATTAATGAGTAAGTAATATGTAAAATTGATTCTAAAATGTCATGGACATTGGGGTGTACCTCCCTCCATAAAACTTGATTAGTCCCAAGCCTCAAGAACTAGTTGTCGAATTTGTTGGCTGTGTCTGGTGATCTGCAGAAGAAATAAGAATGGTGAAGCATATGAATGTGAAAAAGGAAAGTATGAGTAATGAGTATACTTGGAATGTTGCTTCAATAATCCAGAGAGGGAAGCACAGTGAGTTGAATTATAATTGCATCTTGTGCAGCATGAGTTCAGCAATTCAATTACTCGGATGCACCTTCATGAATTAAAACAAACTTGATAATGCAAAAAGCAATCCATTAAATTTAGATTTCCAATTCACACTTTTCAAGATTAATTGCGGCGGATTTGATCAATTTTCCAAGGAATTTAATTCTATAATAATAAAAAAGAGGAGAGATTCGATAGATAGATACATACTTTTGGGGGAGAAAATCGAAAGTGAAATAGATAGATACATACTTTTGGGGGAGAAAATCGAAAGTGAAATAGATAGATACATACTTTTGGGGGAGAAAATCGAAAGTGAAATAGATAGATACATACTTTTGGGGGAGAAAATCGAAAGTGAAATAGATAGATACATACTTTTGGGGGAGAAAGTTGTTCTTGGAGAGGCAAGCTTGAATGGCACAGGCCTCTTTCTTGCACGCGTCTTTGCTCTCCTGCCCCATTTCATTCTCTTCTGTTTTCTCTTCACTCGAACACAAATTAATCTATTCATCATTTGCATATTCACGTGCCAAACCTAAACCTCAACTAGGTTGCTTATGTGTCCCTATACTAGCTTTTTTTTATAAAAATTTTAGAATTAAAAAAATTATATAAATCCAAATTTTTTTGAGAAAATTAAAAAAAAATAAAATTTGTTTTTGATGGACAGTAAATAGAATTGAATTTGATAGAATTAATTTTAACAGAATTGAATTTAGTATAATTGATTTATGTTTGAATATATTGATGGAAAAATAAGTTAAACAATAAATTTCAGTATAAAAATTATCATAATCAATTTTGAAGATAAAATTTTCAAGTAGAATCAATTCTATTTTTTATAAAACAAACACCTCAAAATCACTCAGAATCAATTCTACATCTCCAGAATTGATTTTGTGTCTTTCAAAAATCAATTCAAATATGCTATTAAACGTAAAAGCATATTAAAAAAAAATCAAAAATTAAATTTACAAAATAATAATTCAGTTTTTAATTTTTTAAAATTGCAAAATTAAAAAGTCTCGTACTAATTATTAAGAAAATAAATTATAAATCCACCAAATTATAATTTTAAATGAAAAATTGTAAACTCAGAAAAAATTTGCAAACTCTCTCAATTATAATTATTTTATTAAAAAATTTCAAACTCTTTTTTGGATAGAAAAATTACAAATTTTCTCAATAAATTATTTTTAAACAGAAAAATAAAAAAGTTTCTCAATTAATATATTTGAACAAAAAATTAAAAAAAAAATCTTTCTTAAACACACAACTATCCAAATCTCCAATAAACAAATAAAAAAAACTATTTTTTTTATTATTGTGTAAAAAATTAAAACTAATTATTTATGTTTATATTTAACTGAACAATTTTATCCCTCATTTTCTAATTCACTTGCCACAAATTCAAGCCATGACATAAGTTTCCCATGTTTTTAGAAATAGGTTATTGTTCACCATCTCCTTACATTAAATAAAAGTGTAGTATAATAAGACAATATTGGTAACATCCATTTTTATTTGGTTTAGTGTTTTTTAAGTGTAAGTCGGTTTTTTTTTATCATTTTTCAAGCATACTTGCACTAAATTTACATTAATTTTCAACATTAAAATTCAGCATTATTCTGAGTTGTATGCAATTTAATTTTATGTATGTTGAAATTAATTCAAAATCTTTTGAGAGTTTCTAATCAATCTTAATCTCAAGAAAGATTGCACACAACAATTTTAATGGAAAAAAGAAAGAAAGAAGATTAAACAAAATGATTAGGATAAAACAAAAATAAGAGAAGAGAATTTTCTACATAGTTTCTCTCCGTTCCAAACTGAAAATTTCTTACTCACTTTACAACTGAAAAAACTGTGAATACAAGTTACTACAAAATAGGGGTTACTCCCTATATTTATAATAGAAGAAAGCCCAAACTTACAAAAGCCAAAAATTACTAATTTTGGTCCAAGTCGAAATCATGTGTTAAGCAATCTGCTTCAACACTTCTACATCTAAACAACTCGACACACACACCTTAGGCTAATTTTGACTAATCCTTGTTTATGTCGAGCTACAATGCTTCGACAATAGGAATTACAATCTCAACACACCGTGTAATTCATTATGTATAAGTTATCTTCATTCATCATAAACCTTAGTTTCTTGAACACTTCGACTTGCACTCCTTTCGTCATGATATTTGCAATCTGATTCTCAGTTCTGTAGTGTTCCAAATTCATCTTCCCTTCTGCTATCTGCTCTTGAAGATAATGGAACCTCATTTTGACGCGTTTGCTTCGTCCATGTGCTATTGGATTCTTCGTCAGATTGATAGCTGACATGTTGTCGATCTTCATGGTAATTGCTCAATGACTCTTCGTTGTAATCTCTTCGCCCAAATTCACCATCCACTTTGCTTGACATGCACAAAGAGAAGCAACTATGTATTCTGCTTCATATGACGACAATGCCACTACTGGTTCCTTTCTCAAACTTCAAGCAACTGGTGCACCACCTAGCATAAACACATAGACATATGTGGATTTTCCATCCTCAACATCACTACACCAACTTGAGTCGGAGTATCCTACTAACTTGCACTCTTTTCCTTCATCAACTGCAAGAAACAAAATGTTGTAGTCGAGAGTTCCTTTCAGATACCTAAGTATTTTCTTCGTCGCTGCTAGGTGTGATACCTTTGCCTTATGCGTGAATCTACTTACCATACCCACCCTATATGTTAAGTTAGGCCTTGTGTGACAAAGGTATCAAAGTGACCCAATAAGTCTTTTATATTGGGTTGGGTCGACATCATCTTTATTTGAATCTTTCGATAGTTTGGTTCAGCTGGAGTCGAAGTTGGGTTGTTGTCATACCCTAAATTTTGACCACAAGACTTCACATCATTGTGCAGATCATCACCATAATATGGATGTATTTTCATACCTCACCAATCTTCTCAAAGATTGTTGAGTATTCACCTTAACCAAAGATTAGGGTTTTGAGCTCTCTTAGAGCATTCGGGCAAGGGATCAATCAAGAATTTACATAATCTTCAATTTATCAAGCCTCTCAAACAACCATGAAGGATCAAGAGATCCTCCCCATCAAGAATTTAATAAAATATTGCACCATTCCAAGTTAATAAAGCCTCAAGACCATCAGTATCACCAAATTAGGATTTTAATCGACCAAGGCTTCTAAAGAGAAATCTTCATCGGGGTATTAGCCAATACTTTAATATGTGTTTGAGGAAGCTCAAAAGAACCTCATGAGTCTATTCATAAGTTCAAAATAGCCTCAAGAGTTTGCATCTATCAAAAATTAGGAATTAGGGTTTTGACCTAATTCAATTTATAGGTTGACTATTGAAGTAAGACATGATCCAAAGACCTCAAGATATGTTTAAAGGACTTCAAATACGTCATATTTATCCATTCACAAGATTGTATTGATTCAAAGAACTTGATTCATAAGCAATACAAGAATTCAAATTCATCTGGACCACAAACTAGGGTTCTTGAGAAAAAGTCAACCATACCTTTGACTTCTGACCAAGACATGATCTCAAATATTGGGACATGATTCAAGACATTCAAAAACACCTTTGGAATCCATCCATTAGGTTCAATTCATCCCAATGACTTGATTTCACAAAGGATCACCAAGTTCAAAATTCATCTGATATAAAAAGTCATCTGTGATCAAAACCAAGTTTGACTTTTGAGATTTTTTTTTTTGGAAAACGTGGCCTCTTTAAGTCAAGAACAATGTTAAATTATGATTTGGGTCATAATCAATTAAGAAAAATCAATAAAAGTGAGGTTACTTGCAAAAGGGGCAACCTTGAGAAACTTGAAATTTCACTAAGTTATGGAAGGAACTTGATTTTTACCCAACTTTGCAAGGCCATAACTTGTGATCCAAGCATCTATTTTCTCTCATCTAAAGCTCAACGGTAGATATTCTTACATAAAACAAGATTTCAAAAAACAAGCACCCCCAAAAAATGTCTAGATTTTGAGATATGAAGCATTAAAGTTAGGGTTTCATGAGATTTCGAACTTTGACACTTAGAAATTTTTAGGCAGAATCTGCCTCATGTTTTTCCCAACTTTGGAGGAATTTTTCATTATGATCCAAGATGAATCAATACCAAATGTAAATATCAAGTTGAAGTATGATGTACAAGCTTTTCAAAGAATACAAGAATATCCATTGATTCAACTTGAGCAAGAAGTTATGAACCTCACAACATGCCTGGCTATAAAGTGTTTTTTGACAGCATTTGGCACATAACTTGCCTCCCACGATTTTCAAACCAATTTTAGACACTTGTATCATTGAATTCCCGTCCAATATCAACACAACTGATGAAGGAATCTGAACCATAACACAAGGGGTTAAGAATCTATCCATAGCATGTGCAAATTCATCATGACATGAACCTTGATTTTCAATTTTGGCATCAAGCATTAATGTGGTGCATTGAGGTGACATGAATCTGTTCATATCAGTTCAAATGAGTCAAGACTTATCTAAGAATCAAAAGACATAAAACCTGCAAGTTCAGCTCAAGTCAATGGCTAGAGGAGACTTTGGCACATTGGATAATAGAGTGTTCCAGCTTCCATTCACTATTTCTTTCAAAACAAGCTTCCTCTACTATAAATAAAGGTCATTTATGGTTGACCAAAACACCCAAAAACATCACAACACATGTTTTCCACCATTTAACTCATCATTCCAAATTTTCAAGTTTATAAGGCGCGAGAATCGAATTTTCCAATAGGGAGCAATTCAACTCAAACCAATGGTCCTAACACCTCACATACATCATATATATATATATATATATATATATATATATATATATATATATATATATATATATATATATATATATATATATATATATATATATATATATATATATATATATATATATATATATATATATATATATATATATATATATATATGAGTGATCCAAACCCTTGAGCAATATCTGTAACACCAGATTCATGAAGTTCATATCTCATCCCAAGAAAGCTGCAGTTGGATTCGAGCCCACCAAACCAGAAGGTTTAAAATCATTCCAAGCACATCAGCATATTCCTTGAGGTCTAGGTAAGCTATTCAGGTCATCATTTCACATCTGTAATATTACAACTGAGGATTTGAATTCCTCTTGCACAAGTAAGCCAGAACTTCCCAAACTCCATGAAACATACATCATTTTTTATATTTCAAGTTACCAACATGTTTGTGCACTTACATAGAATGTTTTCCCTAAATTAATTGCTATCTATGAATCGTGTATAGGATTTCATAGTGTTCTTGCCAAAATTAGGGTTCATATGTTCATCACTTGATAACTCACTCTTCACTTAAAAGAAATGAAATTAATTGGTACAATTGAATTCCTTGTTCAAAAACAAACAACTTTCATGTTTACATGTGCAA